ATATAAAATTTTTCTCCTTCAGGACGAACTAGTTAATTAGAAAAAATTTACCAATTGTTTTTAAGGAAGTTGAATAAATTCTGAGAGTAGGTGATGATAAAAGATGTCACTGTCGTTCCTCATATGAGTTAGGAATGTCAAGAATGAGGCTCCACCTCATCCTGAAGATGTTCAGATTTGTTTTATCCGTTTCTTAGAAACAGATCTGAACTCTCTTAACTCAAACATTTCCTCATGGCAACAGTTCCTCAATAGTTTAAAACTACAAAAAATAATAAATACAATAAAAACAGGGGCCATACAAAGCTGAATTTGAATGATGCTATTAAAGGTTTTTTATTTTCAGACACAGATAACTGTAGAATATACATTTATAGTATTTTATTTGAGGAGTTACACTTAAAATTATTCTGTTTAAAGGCTTTGAAGTTCAAAAATGCTGTAGCAGTATTTATAGTATCTGCAGTAAATATTTGAAAGACTTATCAAAAACTACCAATATATTTTCAAAATTGAATAGAATCTCTTTAATTTGCTGAAGTGATTTGCATAAAAGGAAGAAATTCAAAATATTTAAGGCTGGATGTCTTCAGAGCTGCAGGTGTTTTACCAAGGAGGAAATCATTTCCCCAACTTCTTAAAAACATTTCTGTTTCCTGGCTCAGAGCATCCGCTTGTGGAACAACTTTCCCAAAAATGAAAGTGAAAAAATTTGGTGAAACATTTTTTCTGCCTGTATAAAAAGAGAGAAACCTGTAAAAGGCTCATTGATGATCTGGAGTTGAGAGAGTTTCTGCTTAGACCAACAAACGGTAAGATCTGCAGCTTTTACTGATCATTTAATCACATTTCTATTTTTACATTCATCTCCTGCAGTTCCAGTTGGTTGGGGAAATCATTTAGCAAAACCAAATTTGATTTAAAATCTGGGGATCTCAATTATTATGTTGATGTTAGTGGAGCTAATTAAAATAAAGGGAACAAAGATTTTAAAAAATGCAAAACATCAACATAAAAAAACAAAATGCTCAGCAAACAGAGGACAGGAAACAGGTAAAAGTACAAACAAATTAGAAAATATGGTAAAACCTTAAAGTCAATATTGAACAATTCATATAAATTAATCTATATGGCAAGGCCTAAGTAGCAGTAATGATCAACACAAGGAAATTAACTGAATATAGCAAGATAAAAAAGACAATGAAGAGCAGAGAAATATAATGACCAACAGAAGACAGAAATGAACTTGCATGGCAAAATGTGAACAACACAAAATAAAAACATTAAGAAGTGAAGACAGAAAGACCACAAATATTTCCAACAACTTAGAAAATTCAACTCGATATGGCAAGACATCAACAACAATAATACCAGTAATAAATGATCAAAAAATGATCAGAACAGCAACAACTGAAACTCTGACAGCAAATGCTTGATAAGAACAGTTACTTCTGGGTTCAAAGCTGAAAGCAAAGAGACAAGAGAAAGCTGGTGCAACCTCAGCACCACGTTTAGCTAAAGTCACTCCAAAACATTTTCCATTTCACAGATTGATTCCCAGTCGGAAAACAATCGACTGTATCAAAAAAATCAGTTCAAGTCTGTCAGAGAAACATGGCAGAACCGACCGCAGTCAAACAAAGAATATCAGTTATCACAAGTAGGAGACGGTGAAATGTACACCAGCAGATTTTTTTTTCATATTTTACTCCCTGTTGTCTTTCAGGCCTCCAATATGGCAAACAATTCTGAACTGATGAACACATTAAAACACATGGTGGCCAAGCGCGAAAAAGAGCAAACTGAGCTGCATAATCTAAACGGACGCTTGGCCTCCTACATCGATAAGATCCGCTCCTTGGAGCAGGAGGTAAAGCAGCTGAAAAGCCACGAGTCAAAGCGTGTCACTGAGCTGTACGAGGAGGAAATCAACAAGCTGAGGATGGAGGTGAAGAACCAGAGCCAACAAAGTTCAAGCTTGAAGATAGATGTAGAAGGACTGAAAGAAAGGTGTGTGTTCACAAGCAGAGGCGTGTCGGATTACTGACCAAAACCCATCGAAATAAACCTTCTGAAATTCAATATTAGAGATATTTAAATTTGGATGTTGTTTTGACATCAAGTAGGTAAAAATGACTTTAGAGGAGCAACTATTGCTGTCAATTATTCTAGGAAGGTGATTTCCAAACTATCTAACAACAGATCATTCTATAACATTTTGTCCAGATTCAAACATGGAGAAGCAGCATTCAGCTTCTATGTCCCATAGATTTGGAACAAACTTAAAGAAAAGTGCAAAACAGCAGAAACATTGAGTTTCTTTAAATTTAGACTAAAAACCCAGCTGTTCAGAGTCACTTTTGAAACTTTGATCAACATTCTGATGTGTGCACTTGGTAAAATGCTTCAATCTTTGATGTGTTTGACCTGCCTTGTTGTTGAAATGTTCTGTACAAATAAAATTTGATTAACTGATTGATATTGTGATGAATGACGGGAACATATTTTCTGTCATCCAGTCTGCAAAAGGCAAATGAGGAAAAAGAAGAAGCTTTGGAAAAACTGGCTTTTTTAAAGGAGGTTAGTGCTGCAAGGATCCTTAAGAGCTTGAAACTAAATTAAAAGTAATTTATTGTTAATTTCCTTTTACACTGTTTGGATAGAAACCTAACATCTTTATTTATTCATTTTTTAGGTTTAAATGGTGATTGAACATTAACAGCTGAAGTTTCTAAATATGAACTTTAATCTTTTCTGCTTGATGTTTCCTTCCACTCCTCCAGGATTTGGATGCTCCCACTCGGGCTAGCAAGGCTTCTGAAGCAATGATTAAATCTCTCCAAGATCAGCTTGATTTCCGGAACAAAATCCATAAAGAGGTTTTTTTTTATCCTTTTATTCTTTTATTATCTAGTAAAGCTGTCTTTTTACTAAACTAAAATATTTGAGGGAAACTTTCTAATGGTCCTGCCAAAACTCAGGAGATCCAGCAGCTGCAGATTCGCTTCGAGGAGATGAAGAACAATGACCAGACCGATGGAGCCAATTCTAACCTGGCAGAAATGATGCAGGAGCTGAAGGCAGAGTTTCAGAACTCGACCAACGCTAAGATCAGTGAGACAGAGGACAGGTATAAATCCCAGGTAGGAAAAGGGGATTTACAGAACTGGTCATTAATGAATGATCAGCAGAAAGTACATTAAGAATTATCTTTAAAGTTACAGTTACTGGAGCAAATATTTCATAAGTTAGTGACACAAAAATGAAGTGGAGTAAATCACTGTCTTTAAGGGGGACTTGTTATGCAAAATTCACATTTTGCAGGTTTTTAAACGTCCATTTCTGTTTCCACTGTTTCTAAAAACAGACCAAGCTTTTAAAAACAAGCATCCAGCTGTTCTTTTGTTTTGAAGTTTATATTTTTTATTGTCTCGAAAACCTTCAGAATGCTATGTTAAAAATCAGCAGGTTACCAAGCAACACCAGCCAAGCCTAGCCCGTTGCCTAGCAACCCCACTTGAATTACAGAACATTTGGTCAGCTGTCAAACCGCTTTTCAATGGCTGCTGGAAAAGATGAGTTTAGTTATTGACTTACCATCCAAACAACAATTGCTACATCCTGGTTGGTTGTGCAGGAGGCTCCTCTTTTGCTTTTCAAAGATGTATGGTTGTACAATTGAGCATCTGTTTTCAGCTATTTTCACATATTGAGTTGGGGAAGTGGCCAGCAGCACAAGACGCCCTAAATCAGACAAAAATATCATTATTAAGAATGACTGTTGAGAATGAAAAATCAAAGGTCAATGGTCTGTTTAGACCATAGTCTACAGGTGGGCAGTCCTGGTCCTAGAGAGCCGGTGTATGTTGGACCAGAGAGATGTTGGACATCTCTCTGGTCCAACATACTTGAATCCAATAACTGAATCTCCTCCAGTGCCGTCAGGTTCTCCAGATTCCTGCTAATGACGTCATTATTTGACTCATTATTTGTGTTGAAGTAGAAACACATCTAAAGAGACCCTGCAGGCCTGGAGTTGCCCACCTGCCATAGAACCATCTATCCTCACCTAACCAAGGAAGGATAATGGGTCACCTTTAAAAACATGTCAAACGTTGACCACTAGAGGTCAGCAGAGACAAACCAATAAGAGTTAAAGTACTATCACAGACTATTGCATCTCCATGAAAACACATATTTATTGCTGAAAGCATTATATAATATACAAAGTAACTAATTTAACCATGAGAACTACAAGATCTGCCTCCCATTCCACCTGGACAAACAAGACAACCAACTTTTATGCATCTCTCTAACAAAATGTTTACAATTTTGATGCTATTGCATAAAAATCAAACCCAAACCCAAGATTTCTTCTACTGGTTCTGGAAGCTGAAGTCATAGCAGTTAGAAAGTATCATTTCCTGAAGCTCCAAAGGCACCAAACTCACAGCTCACCTGTGGTTGTATCCCCGCAGATGTCAGACATGAAAGAGATGCTAAATGAAAATAATGAAACCCTGACGAAGTTAAAACAGAGGAACACAAATCTCGAAAACCAGAACCAGAAAAACCTGCGCGAGATCAACTCTCTGAAAGACACGGTACGTAAGACGTTTCTGACATTTACCTTGTCCTCACCAAGTTCTTTAGAAATCATCTCATCTTTATTATGAATAGATTGAAGAAATGGAGGAAAAAAGTCAAACTCTTCAGGAGACCATCGACGCTCTGGAGACTGAGAAAAACAAGATGAAGGACGACATGAAGATCCAACTCCTTGAGTACCAGGACCTGCTGAAAGAGAAGGGGGATCTGGATAGGGAGATCTCCATATATAGGATGCTGCTGGAAAAGGAAGAGCACAGGTAATGTTTGGAGGATCCATAGATGGCGTCTGTTTTTCTAGTCTCCTTCAGTTTTGACAATTATACTTGATGTGTTCCTTTGCAGAATACTAAAGAACCCAGAGGAGAACGATCCTACTGGGAATACCCCACCCCAAACTCCTGCTCCGATCTGACAGCGATTCTCAGCATGCACAGCGTCTTCTGCTGAACTCTGAGCGCCAAACAGCTTCAAGTCAAATAAAACTTTTTAACTGATGCTTTTCTGTGTCGGTTTCTCCAGATTGAGATTTATGTGAATTCATGCGTATAAAACTTTTCTGAAACTGATTCCGTTTGTGCAACATTTCTTTTTTTAAAGATCCATTTCAGTGCAAAAGGCTGAAAGACGCGTGAAAGCAAAGAGAAAATACCCGACAATGAGAAAAATACAAATTTACAAAGAGCAAAACGAGAATAAATTAGGATATTGGAGACAAACTAATATGGCAACTAAAAAAAAATCATCCTTTAAGCATCATAACTCAAGAGGTCAGGGGTCAAACAAGCTGTTTTGACCCAAAGCTGCAGCTTCATGACCCAGAGGATCCACCCTGATGCAAAACAAATTGATGAAAGAGAAAAAGAATTCAATTATGTTAAAGGTCAAACACAAGGTTTGTGCTTTACTACTTTTTATTAAAACTTTCTCCAACATTTTGATTTGAAATTAAGAAAAAGATTTATAACATGCATAACTCATTGATCCACCTTATTTACAGGAAATATTTAAAACAACATAAGAATAATGTTACTAGTGGTAAGAGTCCACCTTTAAAAGATACTAAGAATTGTTGTTTTTCTTACAAACAGCAATAATTTCTAGACTTTCAAAAAGAAACATTAATTAGACGACTCATCGATGACACTCTTTCTCTGAGTGGCGTTTTAGTTTTTGTCTTTCTGCCCAATTGAACACAGACACACTGAGGAACCAGACGGCAGATCCGGGTCAGAGAGGTTCAGTGAATGAACTCTGTCCTCCAGAGTCAGAGGAGACAGGAGGACAGGATGCCAGCAGGACCGTCCACCTACACCGCTGCTCTGAGACAGAGGAGGAAGAGGAGCAAATGGCTCTTCCTCTGTTTCAGACGGTGTAACGGCCATCAGAGCGGTGCAGACTGACCTTTCCATAGTGATCACCACTCCAGCCTCTAAAATGATTTTCCTCATGGAGACAGACTTGAAGAATAATACATTTTCAAGAAAATAAAAAGCTCCTGTTTCTTAAGCTGTACAGTATTTCCTGTGATGAATTTTATACATTCTTTACCGTTTCATAAAAATGTATGAAACTGAAGTTAGTAATAAAATCTTCCCAAAGATGAGAAAATCTCAAGAATCTGATGATTCTGGTCGGTTTGTGAGAAATTCTTTATTTCATCTGTGAAATAAAACTTTTTAAAAAGTTTTAAAAGTTACAATTACTGTAAATATTACAAAATATATTTGTTAAAATAAGTGCACTTTACTTCCAAGTAGTTTTCTTTTAAAAATCATTTTTTTGCTGGATAATATTAAAATATGTTTATTCTGCTCCAGCTGTAGTTCCAACTTTACCATCACTTTCTCAGGCTCGTCTTTGTTTCTGTCTATTTCCAGGTTCTGCATGTTTGGGCCTGATTACATGTATGATACCAGTTTATATTATATGATTATTGTTTCCTGTTAGATTGCTGAGAGCATGAAGTGATAATACTGTTAGAGCTGATAAATACTCACTATTTCAGTTATTATAACACATGGAACAGTTTCATTGAAGCAGAACAACAGATTATCACTAAAATAGAAAAACACAACTTTAGCATGAAATCAAAATTAACATATTGCACTATGAGTATCTGACGATTACATTTTTAATGTTTGTTTAGTTTCTCCTCACCAAATTTAAATAAAAGAAACTGAGCTCATTTCACTGTAGCAAATTTGTTACATTTTCAGCTGATTCTGATTCACTTTCACACTAAACTGTGTCAAAGGATCCAAACTGCATCATCTGTTCCTCTCCTTGTTCACATATGAATTCAAAAGCACCACAGTTCACTTTCACTTTTCTGATCTGCTTCAGAGTTTGATTACGCATTCACATCTCTGCAACCAAAATCCAAAGAACTAGAGTTTGATTAAAGCGGACTAAACAGCCTGGTGTGAATGCACCACGAAGCTCCAAACACAACCCACCTATTTCATGACAAATATTTCAATGAAAGTGATCATTTTCCATCAAAGATGATTGAAAACAACTTCAGTTTGCTCACCATCATTTTCTGTTCCATCTAGAATGACACTAAATATTTATTTTTACATTCTTAACTCAACCAAATCATGTTTACTACTGATCTGGAGGTTTTCCGTCACCATGAGAACAAAAATCTACTAACAAAGAGTGGCTGAAGATCCCGTCCAAAACCCAAAACCAGGATAAAGAGGTTGAGTGAATTTTGTCTTGAGGGTATGGAGGTGGATCGGTATTTCAGAGGAAACTCTGTAGAAGGACAGAGTGCCACCTGGATAGTCCACATACACGCCTACTTTGTGGTGGGGAGCAGAAGATGAGCAGGAGGAGATGAACTCCCTTTTGTTCTCATGGCAGACAGAATAACGACCCTCATCAGAGCAGCTCAGACTCCAGGACATGTTGTTGAATCCAAACTCACAGTCATTACTGCTTCCTTTCCGTTGGACTCCGCTGTAGCTCACAGAGATCTCAACCTTCCCACTCCAAATGACCTCCCAGTAAGAGCGAACAGGAAGGCTCTCCTTGCACAGAACCTGAGGCCAGTAATCAAATCTCTGTTCATGGTCAGGGTAGGACTGGGCCTCATCCACACCAGTAACCTTCCTGTTGTTCTCAGACAGCTGCAGTTTTCTGTTTATTGTGTTTGTGTCGATGGTGAGTTGGCAGGAATCTGATACAAGCACAATGCAGATACAGTTATTGATCATTTATTGACGCCTTAAAGATGGCACAAATTAAATAAAAACATACTTACACTTCTTCAGACCTGGCTTCAACCATTTTGCACCAGCAGGCTCCATCCTGAACAGAAGAGGGTTTCAGCATCAGTATCTTCCAGCAGCAAACATGACATGCTTCTCAAGCAGCTGGTTTATAAAACAAAACAAAGCGAGTGCAGCTTTCTCTCCTCAACCAGCTGTCAGTATTGCTGCAGCTAACATCACCATACCTCAGTTTTTCTGGTTTCCAGGAAGAATCCTGTGCAGTCAGCTGATGCATCCCTTCCTCTCCGGGATGGTTGTAGCTCAAGTCCAACTCCTTCAGATGGGACGGGTTGCAGCGCAGCGCTGAGGCCAGAGAAGCACAGCCTTCCTCTGTGATCAGGCATCCTGACAGCCTGCAGATACGCAATGATCCATTAACTTCCTCAGGCTACAAACATCCACAACATTAAACAAACACACTCGGATTTGGAACAACTGATCAACCCCTAAACTTCCACTGCAAAATAAGCCAAAGCTCACTGTCACCCAAACAGCCAGACCATTCCACCAAGAGCATGAACGCCTCATTCTGGATGCCAACATCTTCTCATGACTATGAACATCACAAGATGGTGGAGCCAACATGAACATGAAGCAAGTTCAGTGTTGAGCCAAAATTATAGGCACATTTCTTGTTTTAGTTGTAGACAGAGCAGAAAAGCAATCAAACACATCCTTCTCCCTAAGAAATGCTGCAAAGCATGTTCATAAATCTTATCCAGGTTTCTGACGTCTGCATGAACCGGAGAAATAAACACCCAGAATAAACTCTGGTTGAATTCAAGGAAGTTTTTATGACCAGGCTGAAAGTCACCGTGGATTTTCCAAATCTGCTTTTTGTTTGAGGCTTCCTTTCAAACACACTTTACATATTTCAATGTAAATTACATTATTCAATAATAACCTGCAGCTAAACTGTATGTGTTCCCTTTCAAATGCGATTAGATATGATCTCCTCCAAATTGTACTTTGAGAGATTAACACAAATACATAAAGAAAAACATTACAGGTTGAAGGAAAGGTTACCTTAGAGTCGACAGAGTGCATCGTACACTTCCAAGTCCTTCACATAGACGCGTAACTCCCTCATCCCTCAGGTCATTGTTACTCAAGTCCAACTCTCTCAAGTGAGAAGACTCAGAACTTAGCACTGTGGAAAGGCTCGCACATGTGCTTGGCGAAAGGTTACAGACACTTAATCTGAGAAAACACAGCAGAAGTAACTCAACACCAAATGCAACTCAGCAGTCTATTGTTACTGCATTAATAGAAGTGTCTCATACTCACAGGGCATTGTTGGACACTTCCAGAACTGGAAGCAACCTTGCAAAGTCCTCATCTGAGTTGATGAATTTCTTCAAGTCAAACAGATTCAGATCTTCTTCTGACGACAGCAAGATGAAGACCAGAGCCGACCACTGGGCAGAAGACAGTTTATCTGTGGACAGACTTCCTGAGCTCAGAGACTCTTGGACTCCTTTAACAAGGGCAACATCATTCATTTCACTGAGGCAGTCAAAAAGATTGATGATTTTGTCAGCAGCCAACTTTTCATTCATCTTCCTCTTTATGTATTGGACCGTTTCATCAGTGGTTTCTGTGCTGGGCTCTTCTCGGGTCAACAGGTCCTTCAAGAGAGTCTGATTAGTCTGGAGAGAAAGACCCAGAAAGAAGCGGAGGAACAAGTCCAGGTGTCCATTGGGACTTTTTAAGGCCATGTCTACTGCACTCTGCATGAACTCATGTTTTCCATGTTTTCTTCTTTTTGATTTTTGGGGAGATGTCTGATTTTTTTCAAGCAGATTGAGTCCAGAGTTGATGAAGGTCTGATGAACATGAAGAGCAGCCAGAAACTCCTGAACACTCAGATGGATGAAGCAGAACACCTTGTCCTGGTACAGACCTCTCTCCTCTCTAAAGATCTGTGTGAAAACTCCTGAATACACTGAGGCTGCTCTGATATCGATGCCACACTCTCTCAGGTCTGGTTCATAGAAGATCAGGTTTCCTTTCTGCAGCTGATCAAAAGCCAGTTTTCCCAGAGACTCAATCATCTTCCTGCTCTCTGGACTCCAGTGAGGATCAGTTTCAGATCCTCCATCATATTTGATCTTCTTCACTTTGGCCTGAACCACCAGGAAGTGGATGTACATCTCAGTCAGAGTCTTTGGCAGATCTCCTCCCTCTGTGGTCTTCAACATGTCCTCCAGGACTGTAGCAGTGATCCAGCAGAAGACGGGGATGTGACACATGATATGGAGGCTTCTTGATGTCTTGATATGGGAGATTATCTTGTTTTCCTTCTCTTCATCTCTGAATCTCTTCCTGAAGTATTCCTCCTTCTGGAGGTCTTTGAACCCTCTGACCTCTGTTACCATGTCAACACACTGAGCAGGGATCTGATTGGCTGCTGCAGGTCGTGTGGTTATCCAGAGGAGAGCAGAGGGAAGCAGTTCCTTCCTGATGAGGTTTGTCAGCAGAACATCCACTGAGCTGGACTCTGTAACATCAGTCAGGATCAGATTGTTGTTGAAATCCAGACAAAGTCGACTTTCATCCAGACCATCAAAGATGAACAGAACCTGGAACGATTCAAAGCTGCTGATTCCTTTGGTTTCAGTGAAGAAGTGATGAATCAGTTCCACCAAACTGAACTTTTTCTCTTTCAGTAAATTCAGTTCTCTGAAGGTGAATGGAAATATGAACTGGATGTTCTGGTTGGTTTTGCCTTCAGCCCAGTCCAGAGTGAACTTCTGTGTTAGGACTGTTTTCCCAATGCCAGCCACGCCCATGGTCATCACTGTCCTGATTGGTTGATCTTTACTCGGTGGGGCCTTAAAGAGCTCTTCTGGTTTTATTTCCGTTTCTGGTCCACATGGCTTCCTGGACGCTGTTTCAATCTGTCTGACCTCGTGCTCCTGGTTGACCTCTCCAGTCCCTCCCTCTGTGATGTAGAGCTCAGTGTAAATCTGACTCAAAAGTATTGAGTTTCCAGGTTTAGGAACCCCTTCAAAGATCTGCTGAAATCTGTTCTTCATGTTTGCCTTAAGATTACTTTGGCAGGTGACAGGAGAACCTAAAATAATAAAAAAAGAGCAGTTAAAATCACTAGCACCTCTTCTCCCATGCTTGTAATAATATTACTCAACACACTTCACTAAAAACATCAAGTCAACTCTTTGGTTCAACAGAAAACAGCCAAGATAAGTCTATTTGTGGGTGGTTGGGTTTCAGGATTCATTCGTCTCTGTGTATTTAGATTGTTTACTTGCTTTTCCTGACAGCTGCACCAGGTTTCTGATCAATCATTGCCTTCAATCAACTCTCTTGCATAAATCTCTCTCAGCCAGTCAGCTCTTGGTCAGAGTTGGTGAGAGATAAAACCATTAAAATCACACATTTTTCTGTTCCCAAAAAGAAATCCGTCTAAAAAGATCAACATTACTGCACATTCTGGAGAAGCTGAGGATTAAAGTTAAAGCCGTTTATGATGAGTGTGAGGATAGAAATGACTCTTCAGAGTGAAATGATCACTTACTGTTGTGCAGGCGAGTAGCCAGCTCCTCCTGCTTCATCTTCCTCAGGAAGCTCACAGTGATGTTCAGTAAGTGCTCTCTGTTCTTCCTCCTCTGCTCCTCATCCTCACCCTCCTTCTCACTCTCCAAATACTCTGAACCAAATGGACTCAGACATGTTTTAAACTTGTTCAACTCTTCCTTCATAAAAGTGAACATGTTTTCTTCCACCGCCTGAAAAGCAACACAAGATGAAGGACATCAGACTGGATCAGAACATCAGGTCCATGTTGGACAGACTGAAGGTTCTGTGGTCTACAAAGACTGAACAGAACCGATGTACAGACCTTAAATACGGAGTCCAGCTGTGTTTGAAGCTGCTGTGCAGACGGACCAGTGGGAACCTCTGAGCCATGCTGGTCCTCACTGTGGAGGAACAATTAGCAGATATTGTTTTTTCTCAATTATACAAACTGATTATTTACTTTACTTTCAGTATGGAAGAATATTTACTGAATATTCATCTTTGTAGTGTTCAGCTCTGGTTAAGGTTGTCCTAGTTAAAGCCTCCTCCTCTTCCCTACATCTGTCCAGCTGCAGCTGACCTGTTGTCCTCGGTAGCTCCCAGTAAAACTGTCTTTAACTCACATAACTGAATAATCTCATCTCTATATTTTACTTGATGCTTTATGGACAGTTTCTGCATTTCAAACTTCCTACTTTTCCAGACTTATTCAATTTACCTGGTAGTTTTTTTTTCTTACAATATTTCTTTAAATTTGATCAGAAAACATAGTTGAGAAAGTCTTATTATCTACAGAATCAACATATTAAAAACAATGTGCTAAACATGAGTTTTCTGTTTCATTTGGACAAATTTAAAAAGAAAATGGAATAGAAGAACCAGAACAAACTTTGTCAAATTATCTAAAGCTGGAAAATATCCTGCATGATCTACTGTACTTACACATTTGTTTCTTTTTTAGTCCCAAGGTTGTGAAAAAACTCCCACCAAATGTTTGACAAACACTGAAAAGACACTGAACTGTTTTTAACTAAATCCATGACTTCAAATTTGTCTCAATTTCATTGCATTAAAACATCACTTTCAGTTATAACATATGAGCCTGGCTCATATGTTATAACTAAGCCTGGCTTTTATGGTAAATGTTATTCTAAAACTGTAAAACTTTTGTGGTAAAAATGAAATATTCATCTAAAAGTTGAAACTTTGACATGTTCAAGTCCTTTATGATTTAATATTCACCTAAAATAAAACAACTTCAGATATTTACTCACCTCTTAAAATCAATGAGCCGCCCCTTCGATGAGTCACTGCGCAGGGAGGCTGAGCTGGATCCAGATTCTGGTTCTGGTTCTGGTTGCTTCCTGTGAAAACGTGGTTTGATGATGTGAGGACAGCAGGAGATGTTTACCAGATGACTCAGAAAGATTTAAGCAGCAACACTGATCCATTTTGCTTCACAGAAATGTTTAAACTTTGACTAGGCCACTTCATAGCCTTCATTTTGTTGGTCTTTCTAAGCCAATCATACGTTGAACTGGTGATGGACTGAATTGGTGTTCTCCATCTGCTCACCTCCAGGATTTACTGTTGCAGAGACTCATGGTTCCTCCAGCTGCTAACACTGTAAAGCATCATTCTGCCATCACCGTGCTTAACTCTTGGAATTATGTTCTTGTTCTATATATTATTGCTGAGCTTTTTCTCCACAGAAAGCAGATAATATTGGATGAGTTGGTGATGCAATGACAGATGCAAATAAAGCTAACAAGGGTTTATTAGCGGTAGCATCAACCACCTCAAATCCCAAAATACAATGAAAATATCTGTTACTCAAACTGCCTGACAGAAAAAACCCAGGACAATAAAAAATGAACAGAATATTTGAGATGAAATAATCCTGCCAGGACAGAATCTTGTGTTTAACATAATCAAGACCAAATAACATTTTTAATGAATTTAGGACAGTTTGAGGACTTAATTTTAGATTTATTATATCGTTTATTATTCATGTGATAATATGATTATTCTGATTAACGATGTTTAAAACCCCAATAATGTCCATATTGATAGTTTGCTATATTCTCCTCTTTTTGTTCAATGAAAGTATCATTAAAAATGAATTCATTAAAAAATATGATTAAATGAAGTTATTGATAAAGAGCTTTATTTTAATTGCTTTAGATTTGATCACATTTGACTCTGTTCTAACATCTGGAGACAGCTCACCTCTTGCTTTGTTTAAAATCAATGAGCCGACCCTTTGACGTGTCACTGCGTAGGGACCAAGAACTATGTCCAGATCCAGTCTGTGGTTCTGGTTCTGGTTGCTTCCTGGGAATAAAAATGGTTTGTGATGAGCGTGCAGAGCTCTGACATGGAGAGGACTCGGTAGAGACGGTGACCTCACCTCTGGTCCTCATGTCCCCCGCTGACAGACGTCTTAGCGGGACGGACTGCGTCCTCGCATTCCTGATCCATCCTGCTCAGCTCACACACCGTCTACCTTCATCTGAAACATCAACACACACACATTGATAAAACCTGATACTTAAAGTGAAATTAAAGTGAATATTCAGATTCACTGGCAGTCATTTTCTATATCTGCTACATCTGATGTCAGGTGAAAATATCTTAGTACCTTTGAATTAAGACAAAACTAATTTACAAGTAACTTTTCGGCAAGAAACATGAGCCTGTTTTAAATCAATAATTCCTTAATATTCTTTAAAACGTTATTCTTCTGGCAGATTATTTCTCTCATTACATCAGAGCAGTAATCTGTCAATGCAATAAGTTCTTTTTAATCAATATTAAGCTCATATTTCTTACTGTAAAAGTTACCTTTACGTCACATATTTTCACTAGAAACTAAACAAAAATACTTGATAAGATTTTGTTCTCAAAGATCAATAAATTTTAAACTCTAATTAACTTTTAACACTGGAACTGGAAGACATTTTAAATACCCCAAATAAATAAACAAAACATCAAAAATAAACATAAAATTAATTATGGAGTTTCTGTAAACAGTTATATTTTAAAATCAAGGGCTCATTGAGACACAAACTCCAGACTGAAGACTTTTATCACCCTGTTTTTGTTTTAGCAGAAAGAGAAAAATGATCAATCATGCAGCTGGAAATTACATTTGTTTCAATTTATAATTTGATTAACTGATTTAATCTCTTTGTTGTTTGAATCATTGTAGGACAAACTGATTTACAAAAGAACAGAGAGTGCAACCCCACAGCATGTCAGTGGACTTTGACTAGGCCCAGAGTTTTATGGCTCAGCCTCTCTCTCCTCTGTGGATTTCAGTGTGCTGCACCTCCATGCTTCTGTTCCCAGAGCTGGATTTGGGTTATAATTAACATTATTCCAGATGATTCAGTTACATTTCCAGAACTTCTGCTCGTTTTCTGCGTTCTCTCCAGAAAACTTCAGCCAGACTTTTATGATTCTATTAGAGCAAAGGTCGCCTGGTTGTTAATATTTCACCTGAGTCGCTCTGAAGAATAAAGTTGAGCTGCAGAATAATTCATTTATTTATTGATTAGCCCGATTGATTCATTTATATGACGCATCCAAAGATGCTTTTTTCTCTTGTTATTATGATAAAAACTATTTAGTCCCTTAGAGAATCAACGTATCGGTGACGTATGACGCTTTTCCTGTTTGCAGATTGACGCAGCGGCGCCTTTTTCTACGTGTTTATCAGTTTTTACGTTGTCTCATAATAATAAAAACATCTTCTCACCTTCAGATGTCTTAAATAACTTGTAGGGTAAATAAAAACAGCAGGAGCGTCGTGATGCTCTGCAGCGGCTGTCCGCCGGATCTCTGGCCGGTGTCAGAGTGTCAGGCGGCGGCCAGAGCAGCGGCTCCTCTCCGGTCCTCTGGAGGCTGAACAGGAGCTACAGCAAAATCTGGAAACCCTGTTTGGAGAAGAACCACATGAAGAACCATGTCTCTGTTTTCAGAGTCAGCTGACAGCAGCACTCTGCTGCTCCATCATGGCGGACAGCAGTAACGGTGCTTCTTCCCCAGTTTCCGCTCCTGTGCAGAATGTCTGCAGAGATCAGCTGTTTCTGCTGCAGCTCGACTCTTCACAACTCACTGCATTAACAACATTAAAATGTGGTTAGGTTACCTTCAGCTGGAGGCTCGCAGGGAGAAAAGCAGCTGCGTCACTAGGAGGGTAAAAGTGAAAGTAAAACTGTTGAAGTGGAAACTTAAAGGGGCAGCATGGAGGCTGACTGCTCCATGCTGCCCCCCAGGACGGGAAACCTTTAATAATATCTAAGAGAAAAACTTGATTTTATTCCTACCTCGATTTGGTGAAGTTTGCTGCCCTCCGCCTCAATCTTCTTAAATCTAATAAAGCTTCTTGTTTGTGCCACGATCATAACAATGTTAATAATAAATGTGAAGAAATAGACACATAAATAAACCAACAAATGAGAGTTTGAAGGTCAAAGGGTCAATCAGCCACCCTCCTCCCATGATTGGTGTCAAATGTTTACCTTTGTGCAGTAACATTTTTTTTATTAGTGCCATTATTATTTTGAGATATTAATATAAAACAATTTACACAAGTCATCGGAGGTCAAAAAATGACCTCTGATTTATGACCTCATTACTTAAACAACATTTGAATCTAAACAGTAAACTATAAATATATTTTATACTTCAAATTAACTCTCTACAATGAGACAAAGGAATTTAAAATTTGGAAAGTTACTTGAAATATTTTGGAAAGAGATTGCATAACATTTCCAACATGATACATTTCAACACAATGTCATAAATCTTATATTAATACATATATAAGAAACAGAGACGCAGTGCTTTGCTACTAATTGTCAACACAATAATCAGATAAATTCAGGAAAAAGTTTTAATTTAAAAAATGGCAAAGAAGAAACGGTTAAAACATCAAACATGTTTTTACTGTGAATTCATGGCCTTAATAAACTATATGAGAATTTTTAATCAGACCTTATTCTTTTAATAATTAAAGAAAGTTTTTTCATGAAGTCACTGAAAAAACTTATTACTTAAATGAAACATTTTTACGATCCGTTTCTTTATCGCTACATAAATGCTTCATTATTATCCAGTCGGGCCTCTAATACACACACAGATCAGGAAACTTCATCTCATAGACGGGCGTGGACCGCTGAGACGGCTGTCCTGACGGAGACGGAGGAGGACGGACGATCAGGTCAAAGACCCGGTCCAGTTTGGACTGAAGCAGAGACGTCTACGGGGAAAGACGATACCGTCTGTCAGTCAGACAGTTTGACATGTTTTCATTGAACAAAGTGTCTAATCTGACCAAAACCAAAAACGCTTTAACATAAATAGTTCGGTTTGATTGGGGACCAAATTGGAACCATTTGTTACATTTTCAGCTGCTGTAGTTTCCTTTCTCTCTGTCTAGAGTCAAACGAGCTAAACGAACCTGTTCCCTTCCTCGCCTCTAGGGGCGCTGCATGAAGAACCACTGAAGGAAACAACATAAAAAAACCTCTGGAGACAGAGAGCGCAACTTCCTCCTTTTTGAAATGGAAACCAAAATGGTGGCATCAGATTTTAGCAGTTATTTGTCTTTTCTTCTGCTAGCTCCAGGCTGGCTGTTTGTTTTGGTTGTATTTACCCAGAATGCACTGCGCTGTAGTCCATTTACTGCTTGTGGAGACTGTGGAGCGCATTTTAACTGCACTAGAGTTCACTTCAACCAAACCCAGACCGAGGTTTGTAAACCAGAGTTTGATCAGCATTCACACCAACCCAACCGGACCGGACTGACTCAACAAGCGGACTGGAGTTGGGTTAAAGCGGACTGATCGGTGCTGGTGTGAATGCAGACCAAGTGTCTCACCCTGGATCCACAGAGAGCTGCTATTTCCTCAAAAGGAGCAGTCTGAAACCTCTCCACCACCTCCATCCTCTTCCTCCTCTCCTCCTCCTCCATGCCTCCTCTGTCCTCTGAAAGAAAGACAACGTCTCAGATAAACAGAGAAACAAATGAAAAGCACCTGCAGGTAAAAGGCTGCGGCTTACCGATGGTGTTCTTCAGCGTCTCAAAGGTGATCTGCTCAGTCTGAGGTTTCTGCAGAGCAGAAAGTGAAACTTGAATCAACGTTCAGACGAACAGATGGACTGACAGGCAGATCAAACCTGAGGATCAAACCTGAGGCTCAGCGCTGGCCTCCTGCTCGATGGCGATCTGGAGAGAGATGGTGTCTGCGATACTCATCTTCCTGGACAGACGGTCTTCATCTGGACCAAAACTAAAGTCAGAGATCTACAAATCACAGGCCGACTTCCACACTGAACATTTCCTGTCTCAGAAAATCCTGAAACAAACTTGTTTACCGGTCAGCTGAGGAGTGTAAGGCGTGTTGATGCGTTCACACTGTGCGCTGTAGCTGCTTCCTGTCAGCGCCTCGCAGATCTTGGACTGGACAAACAGGAGAGCTTTGTCCACCTTCAGATCCCCGTTTGGGATCCTGACAAACCAATCAATCAATTATTACTTGGCATCAGTCCAACCGGAAGTCGTCTGACTGGCTTGTTTTTGTACCTGGGTTGGTCACACAGGACGCTTTCGGGCAGCAGGTGTGGCGCCCCCTTCTGTCGACTCTCTATGACCTGCAGAAATATAAAACTAGAGTAGACACGCTGAACACACCTGCACTCTTTATTTCTACGCTCTGATGACCTGAGTGACGTGCTGATGGAGCGGCGGCGGCGGGCCGAGCTGCGACAGAACATGGAGGGCGGCGGCGCAGACGGCGTGAAGACTGCAGCGGTTCAAAACAGACAGACTCTCCTGATTGGACACGCCCATTTCCTGAGCAGCCAATCACAGAGGAGTCCATGAGAGAGGAGGACAGCAACACTGAGACCCAACAGGTGATCTGAGCTCACCTGCAGAGCCAGGAGGAGTCGGATCAGGTCCACCAGAACCTCCTCACTGACCAGTTCCACACTGAGGACAACCAGTAAGATGAAGAGCGCCTGGTACTGGCTCGGCCCGTTGGACTCCTCCTTACAGGCCAGGAAGACGTGTCTGTAGAGCCGCTGGGCGTGCTGCACAGCAGAAACTGAAACCTCAGAGGAAGTTTCATCTCTTTATTGTTTTCTTCTCTTTGTAATGAAATGAATTTTATTGAGAATCATCCAGATTCTGAATGAACATCGTTCTCACCTTCCTGATGAACAGGTTGTCCTGTCGGGAGCATCTGTCCTCCTTCTGCTCCAGAACCGACACGTCAAACGTCACACTGTCCACAAACCAACCAGACAATCAACTGCAAGTTACATTCTGCCGCTAAATTGGCTGATTCAAACTGGTTTCGTGCATCTGCCACTAGATGGCAGTGTTCGGCATGCCGTTCCTGACCTGACCGCGGTGATCCTGGCTGCGTTGTGACGGCGGTCGATGAGCGAGGTGAGGATGGACAGAACCAGCAGGCGGATCTCCGGGTCGTCCATCAGGGTGAAGGACAGCAGCGGCTCCAGGAAGGAGGAGGGCAGAGCGGTCAGCAGGTTGCTGCTGTCGTAGCGCTCCGAAACCTAAAGAGGAACCACCAGACAGCCATCCATATTCGGTTTTATTTTACTGCTTTTAAAGCTGCAGTGTGTAACTTTTAGAAAACATTTTTTTTTATCTTTCTGTTCAAACAGTTTCAATCTGTGAAAAAAATCAAACTCTTCCAGCATAGCATGTTGCCAACACTACAGCTAGTTAGCATGTCCACCGATGATACCTGGTAACATTGAGTTGTTAAGTACATGAGGATGATTGACAGCACAAAGCCCCGCCTCCTGACTCTGACTGGTTGGTTTTAGTAGCTCAGGAAGGAGATCGATCTTTTCAGTCTCACATTATGCTAACGTCATAAAGGCAGTTTGAACAAATATCTAAAAGCATATTATTTATTAAAGAACTGCAGCTTTAAGGCTTCAAACTGTCACTTTACAGTTTCAGTGTTTTGAGAGTTTATACAAGAAACATTTCCATTAATGGACTTTAGGTTATTTCTACGTTGTACTGCCATCACCAGCTTGTTTAGTGATATTAATAATAGTATCATTTAAACCTGGCTCCCCACCTGCAGCAGAGACTTCAGCAGCATCACCTGGATCATCCTGCTGCCTTCAAACCTGAAACACAGGCTCGCTTACTGCTTGTCATGTAACGGCTGGACGGGACAGGGACGGGGGAAGTTACCCGGCGTTCGGAGACCCGAGGGCCGGGTAGATGCCGGGTACTGGGATTTTGCCCATGATGAACAGCATGACCTCTGACCTCTGGTAGACAGGAAGTGTGTTGGCAAAGGATCCTGCAGCAGCATGAATCAAAAACACATTTAATGTTTAAATAATAATTCAGATTAAAAATCAGACCCGGCTCTGACCGATGGTTTTGATGACGGCGTCCTGCAGCGTTTTCTCGTGAAACGACGTCGTTTTGTGTTTTCCGGCGTTGTCGTAGTAACCAGTCAGCTGGTAGTCGACGCTCTGCCTGAGTTGCCGCAGCAACGTGTTGAACACCTCCAACACGGTGGGACCTGCAACACAGAGCAGAAAACTGTCAGACGGAGCGCGGTCCGGTCCTGGTTCTGAGTCCGGTTCTGGCTCACCTACGGATCCAGTGGCTTCGATCACAGCGGCCTCAGACAGAACCTCCACGATCCCGGCCCGGACGGACGCCGGACTCCTGCTGTTGGCGTCCAGGTGACCCAGCAGCTGCTGGATGACCAGGTGGGAGTGCTGGGACTGAAAACACATCATTTGGTCACAGCAGCGCCACCCTGTGGAAACACGGCGACACGGCGGAGCGGTTCTGCTGACCTGGATGGAGAACATGATGATCTGGAAGCAGCGAACAGCAAAGCCTCCTCCTTCCCACAGGCTGCGGCTGTCCAGGTGCCTGGACACACACCTGACCCTCAGAGACACTTCCTGTCCCAACGCTAATGCTAACGCTAACACACCTGCGCTTTGGGAGTAAGATCCACACAATTTACCAGAAACAAATTCAGATTTTTATAATTTAGATAAATTAAGTCAGAAAAAAATCTCAAATTTCAAATTCAAAAAGTGGAGAAACTGAAACATCCAAAAACAAAGTTTGACCATTTATAATCTTGTTTGAATATCTAAGTTCACTTGAAATATAACAGCAGCTTGACAATTCTAGAACATTGATAAAAAGTAATGGTTTAGTTTAAGTTATGTGACATTTTTCTGTTTTCAGTGAAATAATCTGCTAACAGAAGTAGGAATTTAGGTAAATTAGTTTAGTCTTATTTCAAGACAGTTGGAAACAGTTTGCATCCAGTGGCGACTGTAACACTCATGCTGGCATCAGTCTGTTAGTCACTAGCTGCAGTTAGCCTGAAGTTTTGTCTTTCTAATCAGAAAACATGAAACGATCAGGATTGTTTTCCTGATCTGGCTGGAAAACGATGTTATTAGATGAAATGCTGCTGATCTAATCAGTGAGGCGTTTCTCACATGAGAACGGGCCTGATGGCGTTGTTGATGTGTCCGTACGCGGCTCGGCCCAGCAGCTCTCTGAAGCACACCTCCGTCTGCTCAGCAGGAGAACCGCTGCAGGTGAACACATTCACTGGTTCATCCTCATGAAGCGCCGATGGAACCAGAACAGGCGATGCTCTGAACTTCCTGTCAGCTCACCCGTTGCTCTGCTCCAGGTTGACCAGCAGGGCGGGGACGATCTGCTCCATGTGCCGCGGCTCCCAGATGTTGACCTGCAGCTCGTCGTCCACCGTCTTCCTGACCACGCCCTGCAGGCCGCGGATCCCCGACACGCGGATCCTGACCCACAGAAAGTCACATTTCTTCAACCTGAGACCCGAACAGCAAACTGATTTCTGTCGTTACCCAGTTGTCTTTAAAATTAGGATTTGTTTAACAATGAGAAATATTTATATTTACATTTTCTACGAGGAGAAAATACTTTTTAGATATCTGGAACATCAAAAGCAAATGAGAAATTATCAAAATATTTATAAAGTTTTTTACAGATGAATGTTTTCTTCCAAAATCTTAATAATTTAACAGTTTTACTCATTTGAATACATTTTTTGCATAGTTTTTGACAGCAGAAACTGTAAACGTTTCGTGAAGAGCATCTGGAAACTGACCTGATCCGAGTGTCGGGGTCGTCGTGGTCGGAGTGACACATTTCACTGAACCGAGACACGAAGAAGTCGTAGCTGCGATGATACGAAGGCGTGTCCTCCTCGATGTTCGCAAACTTCACAAACTGCAACCAAAACAAACATTTTTCTTGAAAAAAGTCAGATTTCTTAACAAAAGTAAATCAGTTGATTTAAAAACATCATCAATAATTAATTAAAAACTCTCACAGCCTAAAGCTCACAGAAGGGATGGATAAATTAACCCCTTTATGAAACTATTTTCTGTCACTTCCTTATTAGTCATGGTGAGCGGGTCAGGTGTGTGTTCGTACGGAGCCGGTGGCCAGGATGTGCAGGTGCGGCCTGTCGGCCTCCAGCAGCAGCCGCAGCGTCCCGAGGAAACTCTCCACCAGCAGGTTGATGCTCTGGCAGTGGCAGGCCAGCAGCAGCTGCTCCATGGCCTCCAGCGCGATGCACACATACCTGCAACGGCAACAGCTGCTTTAACGGGCCGCTAACTGCTAACCAGACCCCACATGGTTCTGGTTCTGACCCGTAACGGTGGCGGTTCAGCTCTCTGGTCAGACGCTCCGACAGGTAGGCAGCGATCCTGTCCAGCTTCTCCGGTGCCGACAGAGCGAAGAAGGTCAGCTTCTCCATGTTGGCCTTGACCAGACCGTCCTGAGCACACAGCACACGACCCCAGCATGACCCCAGCATGACCCCACCACGAGGGACAACACTCTGTGTGTGTGTTTACCTCTGGGTCTTCAGGGAAAATGTTGTCCACCAGCCGTTTGTAGCGCGGACGCAGCGCCCAGCAGCAGCCACACACACCTGAAACAATAAAACATTAAGATTTCATACGTTTGTCCAAAATGTTGAAAAGTAAACATTGAAGAAATGACTCAAGTCATTAGGTCAAAAATCTACTTAATTATTGACTGACTGATCAAATTATCAGTCATTTAATATTTAAACATTACATCATCAGACAGACCAGAATACAAAGTTAAGAATAAATTTTAACATTTTAAGGACTAAAATGACAATAATTCATATAAGGAAGACAAATAACAGACAAAATTTGTTTTTTTCCAAATTAGCTTCTTTCAATAAAAACACTTTAATAAAAGCAGCAGGTGTGTCTGCTGAATTATTAAAACAAGTTTGTTTTTCAGTCAATGGGTAGAAAATCCAGAAATTTTACTCAAGTAAAAGTAGAAATGCTTTATTAAATAATTACTCAAATTACTGCGCACTAAAAATACTCTTAAAGGTAAATTTTGTTTCAAATAATTAAGTAAATGTAACTAGATGCTACAAACTCCCAGACATCAGTTCTCTACTCAGCCAGAAGGGGGCATCAGAGCGTCTGCTGGCTTTAATCTTTAATCTGTCATGGTGAGTTTCAGGGATTAAAAGGTTGTCAAAGCGTCACCGTCAGGAATCCCCACTTCTCCACCTTAATCCTTCATGTTGTGGGTCCAGATGGACGGAACCGGGCCGCGCCGCAGTAACGCTGCGTCTCGGCAGTTAATCCCACTGCTGCTGCTGCTCGTTGCATAACGTCTTTATACTCTTATTGTTTTCCATCAAAAGAGCTTAAAGAGTCCAGAGCGCGGTTCTACACACACAACTGGACATGTGACCTGTTTGGACCTCAGAACCAGAAACATGCCTGTAATCAGCTCTGCATAATCTGGAGAATTACTGGATTCAGTTTAAATCCAACCATAACGGCTGAGCGAGCCGAGCTGCTTCTCACATAAAACCTGCAGTAAAAACAGAACTTTCTGGTAAAATAAAAGACCAGGAGCAACTTGTTTGGAAAGAAAAAGATTTTTCCAAAGAAGAAAACAAGTTAATAGCTGCAAAAACTAAATAGTTGGAGTGTAACAGCAGAATGTTTAACATGAAAATATGACTCACATCGTGATCTAGATTATTACTGACCTGCATTTGCTCTGATTAAAGTTTACATTCTGTTTTTATTTATATAAAAATGGGCTTAAAGTCTTAAAAGTTAATTCATTAAAGCTCAATATCTACTATGTTCAGTTTTAGCTGCGTTATATTTTACAATTCCAGACTTTTTCAAACTTTTTCCTCAGAATGGAGAACCTGAAGGAGTCTCATGCAAAATGATGTTTAGAAAAGTTCAATCTGCATTTTGTTCAAATCTATAACTGTTATTAATTCATCCCACAATAAATGCAGTTTGTAGATTTTTGATACTTTCATTCTGTTTGTTCAGCACCAGAAGTGAAATAAAGGGGTCAGAATCACTTTATTAAAATAAACGAGTTTTTTATTTTCAGGTCTGAAACCAAACCAATCAATAAGTTATTAATAGATATAAATACCAATGAAATCAATGAATCCATCAGTTCTTTGTGAACAGAAACATGTTAGGTCAGAGTTATGAGTTATAATGTTAGGATTATTGGACGAGGATAAAGACTGGAATCTGTGCCGGGAACTTATGAATTATGATTACGCTCCAAACCGATCGGTTGGGTTTGATAAGATGAAATTAAAATAATCGTCTGATAGCAGGAAGATGAAAAGGTCAGATGGAGATAAACGGTGAGAAACAAACAGAAAATATAAAATATTCTAAATTCATTTGACATTTTATTTCTTCTACAAATAACAGTTGTTTAATCTGAAAGAGAGATGTGACTAAAACACCATCATTACTCTAAATATGAGGAAACAACCTTTAGAAATATGAAACATTATTTATAAAATATGTAATTAATAAAGAGATTGAGTTGGATTTAAAAAAACGATAAATTTAATTTAACTCAATGTAGAAAAATGAGATTTATGATTAATAAATGATGAATATTATCTTACCATACATGAGGATGATTCCTTCAGCTCACATCCACACACCAGTGGAGATAATCCACACCCACACACACCCACACACACACACACACACACACACACACA